TATTAGCAATGAGGATTGGTACTGTAGTCTCGTGTGTAGTGTTCTCACTATTTGCATGGTTTGGTGGCACACTCACTCCTGCAGTAGTGTTCAGTACATTGTCTCATATTGTATTCCTCAGATACACCATAGTGCACTTTGTGGAAGGACTCTGTTTCATTTTAGAATCGCATGTTGGATACAAAAGAATTAAAGTAAGATTTACAAATTTTTGGGCGGATTAAATTTAAATGATTCATATAGGATTTTCTATCATTGGAGGAACTGTTCAAAGACACTGATGAGTTGTGTAAAAGATATGATCCCATGACTGTTGGGATTGGTGATGATGATGATGTAGGAGTTACTGTGGAGCACTTGACTGCTTCATGGTCAATGGATAATGACAAACCAACACTGTCTGATGTGTCTTTCAATGTTGACAAGGTTAAATTTGTGAATTGCAAAAATGAACTTAATTTTATTTTACTAAAGACACACTCATTGCTTGCTATTGTTGGACCAGTTGGAGCAGGAAAAGTATTAATAATATTATCAGTTATTGTATCATTCATTCCCATTATAGTCCACATTGCTCCAGTGTATATTGAAGGAGCTACCAGCATTAAGTGGTAGAGTATCAGTGAGAGGATCAGTAGCATATGCTAGTCAAGAGGCATGTATATTCTCAACCAGTCTTAGGGAGAATATACTGTTTGGTTTACCATATGAAGAGGAATGGTATAGGACTGTGATAGATGCTTGTGCACTTGAAAAGGTAGCACTCATTTTATATTAATTTTGATTATTTTATTTGTTATAGGAGATATCATTATTGGAGAATGGTGATATGACGCTAGTGGGAGAGAGAGGAGTGACACTCAGTGGTGGTCAGAAGGCACGAGTCAATCTAGCAAGAGCTGTCTATAGAAAGGCTGACATATACCTCCTTGATGATCCTTTGAGTGCTGTGGACTCTGCTGTCAGTAGACATATATTTGAAAAGTATGATACATAAAGGCACTTTACAAGGATGTGGATAATGGAGGGGGGAACTACACCCTACTTTATATAAGTTTTTCTTTGTTTTATTAAAGGTGTATTCGTGGGCTGTTAGTGGATAAGTGTGTATTACTGGTTACTCATCAGACACAGTATCTCAAACAATGTCATTCTGTATTGAACCTAATGGAAGTAAGAGTTACAAGAGCACCCTCATTATCATCATCATTATTATTATTATAAAGGGAAGAGTGGTATCTACTGATATTTCTGGTATTAATGATCAATGGGATGCTAAAGGAATGGATGTACAAGAAAGTTAGTACATCAGTACATATGTATAGGTTATACACCGAGGTCGAGGTTTCTATGGGATTTATTAACCGAGCGACGCAGTCGCGAGGTTAATAAATGCCATAGAAACCGAGATCGAGGTGTATAACCAACTTCTACCATGACAACTTGCAATGACCAATCATGTTGCAGAAGAATAGGTTTCCTTAGTAGCTTGTGCATCTTTTAAGAGCACTATAAAAGTGTGTCCCTTGACAACTAAGCTCATTTTGTAAAAAGCACCGACAAAAATGGCAAAGAAGTGTGAGCTCGAGCCTCTCCCTCTTTGTCCCTCGTATACCTCTAGCGGTAGCCCCACCTCAGGCCAGCCCTCTACAAGCACTCCGCCCAATCGATTTTTAGCTCCTATCAACGATGACGCTGTTGATAAAGCAGCAAAAAAATCTGTACCTAAGACAACAGAGCAAGCGACTCGTTGGACTTTGAATCTATGGAAGGAATGGCAGCAAAATAGAAAGAATCGAGGAGTTGCGCATCCTCCTGCTATGCCAAATCTTTTGCTGAATGCACCCACTCTAAATGACTGGATGTGCAAGTTCATACTGGAAGTACGTCGTAAAGATGGTGCAGAGTACCCACCCAACAGTCTCTATCAAATTGCAAGTGGTATCATGAGGCATGTAAGGTTATATTTACCTTCTATCAATTTCTATACACAACCTGAGTTTGACACATTTAGAAGAGTGCTTGATGGGGAAATGAAGCGATTAAAAGCTAAAGGAATGGGAGTTG